CAGTAGGGGATATGAAGGATGGGCGCCATATGTTGTCTGGAGAAGGCGTGACTGCCTCTTCACCAAGATTCAAGTCAAAACGACAGTTGGAGGGTCCAGACATTTTCAAAGTGTTGAAGAAAGAAGAGATCGGACAAATCAAGATCTTAGAAGTGCAAGAAGGGAGTTTTCACAAGCAAAAATTCAAGTGTGCTTTGAAACGAATTGCGTGCCTCTATAAAAAATCAGCACTCGACGGGATTTCAGAGATAGAAGAGGCGAGCTCAGAATTCGAAGAGACCATTCAAAAATCGAAGAGGCAAGCTCAGAAATCGGAGAAGCATCTTGCTTTTCCAGACGCGTCGGCACCCGTCACACGCAAACTCAGCTTTGCGGAAATCACGGGCAATTTGTCGAAGCGCCGAGCTCAGAATTCGAAGAGGCCAATTCAAAAATTGAAGAGGTGCTAGCTTTCTCAAAAGCTGGGCTTGCTCGGAAACCACGGGCGATCTTCCTTTCCAGACACGTCAGCACCCATCACACGCAAACTCAGCTTTGCGAAAATCACGGGCAATTTGTCGAAGCGCCGATCCCAGTTATCGAAGAGGCGCCAGTCTTTTTCAGCCACATCAGCATCCATTACACGCAAACTCAGCTTTGCGGAAATCACGGGTAATTTGTCGAAGCGCCGATCCCAGTTATCGAAGAGGCGCCAGTCTTTTTCGGCCGCGTCAACACCTGTCACATGCACACTCAGCTTGGCGGAAATTATGGACAATTTGTCGAAGATTTCTGATAAAGAAGAAAGCACGTGAAGCCATATAGGTCAATCACGCATGGGTTGCCGACACGAGTGAAAGAATAGTACCTCTACAGGTATCAAAGAACTTCCTATAATTGTCTACCTTCGCCTTCCATAGCAAGGCAGACATACAGAGCCTTTCTTCATCTCAAAAAATGCTTTCCCAACGATGCCTCTCAAGTCATTCAATGTTCTTTATTCCTTGGGGCACCTTTGCAAGCCAATGACTCCAAAGCAAAAGTATCTCATATCACCAGGGTAGAAAGCAAGAGTATCTCATATCATGCGTTCTCCCTGTCTTTTCCTTTGTCCTTGTTCCTACCTACAAAGACAAGGATAAAGAAAACAATATGCCGGAACTTCCACTCAAACTCGGGTAAGGAACCGACTGCTTGGAACCCTTCCCTGATTGCCTACCTAGCACCGCTCTTGAGTACTCGCCTTCCACTGCTGCTGTACTTTCAAAGAAGCTACCACATCTGCCTGGAGGACAGATAAGGCAAGTGAAAATGATACCTTGCAGCATGTGGAGACAAGGTGCAGAAGGAACAAGCAGAGAAGAATGTTGGTCTGCACGGTCAACTCAGTAGAAGGAGTCCAAACTGAGGAACTCGAGAAGCTGCCACATCTGCCTGAAGAAACAAGCAGAGAAGAATGCAGCATGCACAGTCAACTCAGTAGAAAGAGTCTGGGATGAAGAACTCGAGAAGATGCCGCATCTGCCTGAGGATGGTGAACTCATTTTGACCCTCAAATTCTTGGGTCGACTTACTAGGCGTTGTGGGCTGCATGTGTCGTTTCACCACCCTTGAATCAAATCCTTAAAGATCGAGTCACCAACTGGAAGAAGAGCCCATCAATCTTGAAGATCATACCGTTGACCAAACTGCTCAGGTGTGAACTAGAAAGATTGAACAAAGCAACAAGTCGTCACCTTCACCTCGTGCCTGCTTGCCATGTGTTCGAGTCAGCCTTCAAGAATTAAGCCTCAACGGCCCTTGAAGAAGCTTCCAGCCAAATTCAAAATCAAGCCTCGACGGCTCTGGAAGAAATCACAAGTCCGATTCAAGATTAAGTGTCTACCACCCTTGAATCAAAACCTAGTTCAAGAATAAGCTGTGGAAAATCAACAATTGGAGGAATCCAGAAAATCCTCCAACCCAGTTCAAGATCAAAGCTGTGGAAAGTCAACAAGCGCAACAAAATACGTGCCGATTCACCCACTACCAAAGCCAAAGATCATCTACCACATGAAGCTCCTTGTGGTCCAATTTCAACCTTCAAGATCAAGCCTCAACGGCCCTTCAAGAAATCTGAAGCCCAATTCAAGATCAAGCCTCAACGGCCCTTGAAGAAATCTCCAGCCCAATTCAAGATCAAGCCTCGACGGCCCTTGGATCGACGTCTACAGTAAGGGACTTCAAAACGCATCTCCTACACCCGACAAGCACATGTACACGACGCGACTTGAAGTGGGGGCATTTGTAGACATCGAAATTTCGGTAAATAAATGTTGACCGATAAATCAAAGTTTCAACGCTCATGTATTACATAAATTTTACACGTAGCGTGTGACTCAACGAAAATTGAAATGAGTTGGAAAAGTCATCAAATAAGACACGTGTCAACACCTGGCAGAAACAACTTATTTCATCTGGAATATTATATTCAAAATTAGGCATTGGAAATTTCTATAAATACAAGCCCATTTCATTCATTTAAAGAAAACCAAAATCATTAGGCAAAAATTCTTGAAGCTCTGAAGCTCTGAAACTCCGAAGCTCTCAAGCATCCAGGTTCCTGAAGAATCAAGAAAGCGTTCTTCGTTCATCGTTCTTCCAAGATCAAGCCCGACGGCCCTTGGATCAACAATCATCCACCTTCAAGCCCAAGCCTCAACGGCCCCTTGAAGAAAGCGTTCATCGTTCATCAACTGTTCATCCTCAAGGATCAAGCCCCAACGGCCCCTTTGGATCGACAACATCAACAAATCCGCTCATCCGCTGTTCATCAAGCCCAAGCCCCGACGGCCCTTGAAGAAAGCGTTCATCGTTCATCACTGTTCTTCGAGATCAAGCCCAAAAGCCCTCGAAGATCCGTTCAAGCCCAAAAGCTCTCGAAGATCCGTTCGTCACTGTTCTTCGAGTTCAAGCCCAAAAGCCCTCAGAAATCTGTTCATCACTGTTCTTCAAGATCAAGCCCAAAAGCCCTTGAAGATCCGTCAATCACCATTCTTCAAGATCAAGCTCAAAAGCCCTCGAAGATCCGTTCATCCTCGTTCATCCAGGATCAAGCCTCGACGGCCCTTGGATCAATCGCATATCCCACAAATCAACACCTTACGGAGATCGAATCAGAGGATCAAATTTGAGAGAGATTGTAACCCAAAACTATCAAACACATTAATATTTGTTTGTGCACGTCGTTGTTCTTGTCTCTTTCGTTTCAGGAATTTTCCGTGTTCACAATTATGTTTGTGAGCTTGTACATATGTGATTGTATATATGTATGTATCTATTTTCCAAAGAAAGAGAGTTCAGAAATGGCAACTAGTTGACACATATATTAAGTATCACTAATATCAAATCTAAACATTATCTATTCTGAAGTTGGTGGGCAATTGAACTGTTCATGGCTACAGTCAATTGTTTAACACTTGATTTCATTTTATTTACAACAAACCCATGAGATTTGGGCTGGGGTCATTATTAGAACTTAGAAGTGTAATTTTGTCAGCAGGGTTTAGGACGGATTTTTTTTGGTGTGGAAGCTGCTCGAGCGATCCCTCGTTCTCTTCCGTAGCTTCTCCCTTTTTCTTCCTCTTTGTTCTTCTGCTTGCCTCAATCTTTCGTGTTTCTCTGCTTATCTCTCTGCGTCAATCCTTTGTCGCCTGAAGAGTTTCTTTTTCTCATTCATTCCGCTGTTTGAGGTAATTTCTCCCCCTTTTTTTTGTTGTCGCCCAATCTTTGATTCAATACCAAGTCCTTGCATGGCATACCAAAAAGCTTTTCGCCAGATTTTCTAATTATCAGAGCATTGATTTCATTGGTGTCGTCCTAAAAAACCAAATTGACTTTATACCTATATTAAAAAATGAAACTATATGAGGCAAAATAATTTGAAATTGAACATATATAAATAGAAATAAAACAGAAGAAAGTATTGTAAAAAATCAGGAAGAATAGTTACTAGTAGAAAAAAGCTCATCTATCACGGTCAATGCTCGTGGTAGATTGTAATCCACCATGGACATTGTGCCCGTTAGTAATCTGGATGTGATAGAAAGTCACAGATTCTACCACGGGTTATGCCCATTGTCAATTGTAATATAACCACAGATTGTGCCAATTGTAGAAGTAGATCTAACACAACGTGCACTATAACCGTTGTGGATTACAAATTGGTCACGGCTAATGCTCGTTATAAAAAAATTTCCAAAAATAAAAAAAAATTAAAATATTGTTCAATAAATGTATTATACAAGGTTTAAAATATCGATGATATCGGAAATATCGGTAGTCCAAAAACACGGAAATTTCGATGGAAATATCGGGATATTATCAATATCGATAAAAATTGAATAAAAACCACGGAAATTGTAAGAAAAAATTGGAAATTTTTATTGAAACTTTGCAGGATGTTTATTTAGTCAATTATCTATTAGTTTATCACAAAAAATTGGAAGGAAATGCATTACATGATGGATTTAACTGATTTAAGTTGATTATATAGCGAGCTGACAAACATTGTGAGTGTAGAAAATATGTAGTAATTAATTAAAGAAGTTTAAACACACCATAATCATTTATATATAATGAATTAGTATAATATTTTACACTTTATACATTGCATACTAAGATACATGAGTGAATTAGTACAAGCCTTGCAGACATCTTAACTACCATATAAATATTACAGGCTGAATATGTAATCACAAACACATCTGTAACGAGTTGGATAAGGCCCAGGTGCATGGTTGACAAAGGGAGGGGTTTGAATCCCTCTATGCGCAAATAAACAATGTGATAAATGATGTGACTGTGGGGAGAAATTAATGTGAAATTATGTTTGTGAGCTTGTACATATGTGATTGTATATATGTATGTATCTATTTTCCAAAGAAAGAGAGTTCAGAGATGGCAACTAGTTGACAAAGATATTAAGTATCACTAATATCAAATCTAAACATTATCTATTCTGAAGTTGGTGGGCAATTGGACTGTTCATGGCTACAGTCAATTGTTTACCACTTGATTTCATTTTATTTACAACAAACCCATGAGATTTGGGCTGGGGTCATTATTAGAACTTAGAAGTGTAATTTTGTCAGCAGGGTTTAGGGTTTAGGATATTTTTTGGTGTGGAAGCTGCTCGAGCGATCCCTCGTTCTCTTCCGTAGCTTCTCCCTTTTTCTTCCTCTTTGTTCTTCTGCTTGCCTCGATCTTTCGTATTTCTCTGCTTATCTCTCTGCCTCAATCCTTTGTCGCCTGAAGAGTTTCTTTTTCTCATTCATTCCGCTGTTTGAGGTAACTTCTCCCCCTTTTTTTTGTGTGTTTTCTTTGATTGGGAAGAAAATTTGCAGACTGATCGCTGTAAAATTAGAGTATTTGTGTTTTGTATTGGTTGTTTCCTAATTTTTTTTCTTTGTTTTTAGCCTGTTCGTTTAATCCGATTTGTTTTTTGGTTTCAACAAACGTTGGTGTGTGAATTTTAGGGTTTATAGGAACAGTCTTGCAAACCATTTGTGATTAAGCTCTGTAAGTTTTTTGTTTCGAATGTTTTCTTCTTCTTTTTTTTTTCCGCTTATTTTGGCGTCGTTGTTCCATGTAATTCCAATTTTCCTTTTGGGAAATTTGGGTCTTTCGGGTTTTGGGTTTTCCTGTACATTGATTGCTTAATCGGTGTGAAGTTGAAGTTTTTGCGTTTTTCATTCATTGTTTGGTTAATTTTTTAGTGTTTTCGGTGTGGTTCGCTAATCTGATTGGCTTTTTCGGTGCAGGAAATATTGGTCTGTTGGCTCTTTCTTCCAAATGTTTTCGTCTATTTTGAGATCATTTGTCTGTGGTTGTTCCATTTGTTGTTTGAATTTACACTTACAGTGGTTGGGTTCTTTGTTAGGTATCAGTTTTTTTCATTGGGCAGGGTTTATTGAGTGGCGTCGGTGTTTTGTTTGGATTCAGTGTTATTCGGTTGCTCTGAAGCGACTTAAAATTGGTGTTGTTCTTCAGGGTTTGGAGCTTTTGTTCATGGATATAAAATGAAGTTTTCATTGTTTTAGATGATTTGGATAATCTTTCCTTTTAAAACTGATGGAATGGGATCGATCATATATGGGAAATGGGAAGACACATAATTAATCAGTGAGTGACGGAGTAGAATTGGATCACATTTGCAAATTTGATTGATTAATTAATTGTATGATGGTGGATGAAAGATGCATCCAGTTGGATAATCAAGGTTCGCATCACACATGCCTGCCCATATACCATCATCATGATTCGTCATAATTTGCAGTGCTGCTTCGGCTGCATATGAAATGTATCTCCTTCTACCACTGTGCTTGGTTTGCTGCATCTTTCAATTAATGTATTGGCGTCTTTATCGCTGTGTTTCTGCAATTAAAACTTTTTTGTACATATTTAGTTTAAATTTTTATACATATTATCTCTTGGTCGTTTAGTTCAGTGTTTTTACCAAATGGGGTTGGTATTTGGGCTGATATTTGGGGCTGGTTTGGAAGGGCAATTTTGTCCTGTGCGTTTGAGACGGATTGGGGTGGGTTTAGGTTTGTTGTCATTCATTGAGGGCTTCAGGGATGGGAGGCCATGCCTCATCTGAGAGATAGAGAGAGACAGAGCGAGAGAGAGGGGGAGAGGGGGGAGTGGGGACGGATTGGGGTGGGTTAGGTGGAGTGATGCTGCCAAAAAAGCATGGGTTGCAGAGAGAGGGACATAGGCGTGGGATGGCAGGTAGGGGAAGGCAGAGAGAGGAGTGAGGCACTGAAGCTACCAAAAAGGGGTTTAGGGTTGATTTTTTCTCCTCAAACGAAGGATGTTGTCATTGATTGAGGGATGGGCGTTTAATTTTGTGCAAGGAATTCAGACTACATCGACTGCATCTTCAACTTTCTCTCTCACTTCCTCTCTCCTTTACTGAAACCATAATCTTCCTCTCCTCGGCGCTTTCCCATGTCTCTTGCCGTGGAGCCCACAAACCAAGCATGTAGTGACGGTCACAAGCCTCAAACACGCCGAATGTGTACTGGAGGTACATTGACGGCTGGCAACCGCGTCCTCAGCGATGAATATAGTCGTTGGAAAGCGTCCTCGCTCCGATTGCTGTATGTTGGATTCATTGAATTCCTTTTTTTCGGTTTCCTCTCTCATTTTTGCGTCTGTTTGGGGTGGGATCTGGGTTTTCCCTGCATTGCTTCAATTTTGCATTTTTTTCTTCTTCTGGATTTCAATTAAGAAATGAATAAATTTGGGGGCTTCCGATTTTATATTTTGTTGTTTAAATATCGCGATATTATTGATAATATTGCGATATATTTACGATAATTAAGTGAATAAGTGTGAAAATATCGCTCTCTAAAAAAAATGATATTATCGGTGATATTTCGCCGATAATATCGATATTTTAAATCTTGTTATTATATAATATTTATAAACAAATTACACATTTACTACAATATAACAATTAATAAAAAAATCATAGATTCAAACATTACAGTAATACACTAAACTAAAGCTAACAAAAATACGATGAGATATACAAAGAAATACCAAACTATCCAAAGACCTTCAACAAACAAGGACAGTCACTTTGAAGACTTCACATTTCTTTGAACACCTCCAAACAAAGGACCTTGAGAGCGAACTACTGCCCCTAATGCTTGAGCCTCAGCAATTGTTGCCTCTCTCTATTTGCATGGACATAAGCATATGGATCAAGAAAAAAATCTTGTACTTGCGTAGGTAGAAATATACATTTGATCTCAATCAAGAAAAGTGAATAGAGCTCTTGAAAAAAATATATTAAGGGTGGTCTTCTGAGAAAAGATAAACACATGATATATTATGAACCTGCTAAACAGAGCCACTAAATATATATTTATGCAAATATATGAAAATATGAAAAAAGCAGAATATCTGTGAATACCAATCATAACCACCATTGGAACAATTTTACGAAACGCAAATCAAAAGAACCAGATTGTAGTTGACAAATAATCAAAATAACATCGTGGAAAGTCCAAAAGTTGTACCAATTTTGTAGAAATGGGTAAACCTGTATAGCAATGACTACAATATGGATGAAGATTTAACTGTATAACACAGGGTATTTAAAAACTGTTTAAATAATTTGAAATCGAGAAAGGTCCCAAATTTCTTTTTAAGATCACAAAATTAAGCAAAATGTCATCCGTAAGAAAATTTTGGATGGCAGATGTAGAAAACATTGAAACAAAATGATGAGTAAGAGTGATATGCAGTTTTGAATTCATCAAGACAATATATATTGAAACCACATTTAGGCAAATATGAGAAAAGATGTGAAAATGTGAAAAAAAATAATTAGATTATATATGCAATGAAAAAAAAATAAAGGTAAGAAATATTTTGACTGATTTATTACGAACTTGTACCAATGTATGTTAAATATTACCAAGGAATTGGAGTTTGGTTTGGATGCTTTTGACAAATGAGATCTCCAGTTGTCAAGTCCTTGTGCATTTGTTTTACACAGTTGGGGCATGCACCATATCACCATTCATAACGTGTGTCAAAACGCTTGACAAATGCCTTACATAGAAATGTATCATTCTGTAAAACAGTTTGTAACAGCTTTGTGCATGCAATAGTAATCATGTATACAATGTTTATTGAAAATGTAAAAATGCAGTTGTGTATTTATAAGAAAAGCTAAAAAGATGAATTAGATTTTATACCTTGTACAAATCAGGATCTAGAAAAGTCAGCTCTTCAATTGTTAATTTCTTTGCTGTGTAATACTTCAACCTCATTCACTTGTCTTGAGGAGGGTGCCAATATTTTTATAGGCTCTTTACAATTTGTAAACCTAGAGAATTGAAAATGCAATAATATTTGAATAACTTGATAAAATTAGTATTTGTTTTGCTCTTATAACAGCAAACACAATATAATTTTGTTTGTAAACTTATATGAATACTTACACTGATTTGTATGCATTTACTTCTGGAATATCCGAATCAACAAAGAAGAGTGAGCAGCCAGTATTGTTCATCACAATTTTATATGTGCATTGAAAAAAAAGAAAATAAGAAAGTGTAAAGAAAACACCAGTAAATACTTTTACTCACATAAGTCAAGTTTCGGAATGGCATGGAACAATTAGTTGTGGCACTACGATTGTAATTGGAGGGCACAAAGTTTTAAAAAGCTGAAAATAAAACAGGAAAATAATTAATAATAGTGATTGACAACTAATTTATTCAGGTATTTGAAAATTAATTAATTAGCTATAGAACAAAGAGATATGATAATTGCAGGAAGTAAATATAATAAAATCATGTGAGGAGAAAAGATTTAAACAATTTAGATAAAGCTATATAAAAAAAAGAAGAAAATAAAGATACAAAAGTTTGGTTTTAATTAAGTCAAGTACCTAGATAAAGTGTCACAGCCCGTCCCGAAATAAATTATCGATGGCGTGAGTTGACTATTTTACCCTTGGATGTGAGTGTTGTGGTGTGTTATGCATGTAAACGGTGGTCTAAACTTGCATTTTCCTTAATTTTTGGAACAAAATTGGAAATTGGTTTTGTGGTTTTGGTTGGTGACCACGTGGACCACTCACACACACACAAACCTTTCCTTTCTCTTCTCTCTCGTGCTCTTTCTCCCTCGGACTCACTCTCTCTCCTTTCTCCCGTACGGACGAACAACAAATCTAGAAGAAAGTTGGCAGATCAAGGGTTTAAAGGACACCATCATGTTCCTGAGGTTCATACGAGTTGAATGGTACGATTTTTATGTAAGAACTCCTTCGAAAACCCTAGTTTCTCTCGAACTCCAATTTAGGTACTATTCATGCAAACGTAAAATCTCATGTGTTTTGGGGATTTCAAGCTTATAGGTAGCTTAAGGAGGTCCTCACGAAGCTAGGAGTGGTTCGTTGGAAGATTTTGGACGTTGGAATAGTGAGATTCGACGAGTTGCAGGTTTGACCGAAGTGTTGAGGAGTTTTCCGACAAATCCCATGGGTTTTAGGGCTTTTAAAATGTATGGTTGTGTTCTATTCGTGTCAAGCTTCAAATTGGTTTAAGTTTCATGAAATTTGACTGAGAAATGGACGAGAAATGGAAGTTTGAAAAATTCCCAGTTTTCCGGTGCTGACGACGGTCGCCGGAGTTCTAAGATAGGGGATGATGGAATATTCCTAACAGTGTTGGTTAGTTTAATGGATTCTATTACTATTTAATGAAATATTCCTAACGGCAGTTAAGGTTTCCGTTAGGGTTCCCTGCGCGTGGCCGCGCGTGTTGCCGTGCCTTGGTCAGCGTGTTGCGGAGCGTGAGAGTGGTCGGAAAATTTTTCTAAAAATATGGGGATATTCGTGAGGCTATGTAGATCACGTTGGTATATTCAAACACCCCATTTGAGCAATGTATAAGAAGTTATTAGTTAGTTTTGTTTATGTGCTTTAAATTAACGTTTATTCAGTTAATTCACATATAGGTGAGACTTAGCCCGAGGACGAGCGTAGTCAAGGGTGACTCGGGGGCTACGACCCTTCAACATACCAGTGAGTGGGCTTTTGGTTTTCAGTATATACTTATATACTTGATATTTTCCCAGAAAATGTGTTTGAATGAAAGTATGCCTTGAATGCCATGCATATAAAGTTATATTTTGTTTATGAAATAGTATATGATGCATAATATATAATTGTGGTGCTGTGGATGCTCACGTAATTGCCGAGGTGAGTTATGAATTGTAAATGTGATTAAAGCTGTGATTGAGAAACGTTGAGCTCACAAACCTGCACCTAGGGTAATTGTGATTTAGTCAGAGATATAGCATAGGCCTGTTATTATAATGTCACCTCCTGCACCATATGCTCACATTGGATCCAATTTAGGTGCACAGTCTTGTCGTACAGACCATCATAGGTGGTTCCGACTCGTAAGTGACTAGCGATTTATCGCCCAGCTATCATGAGAGCGTAGTATTGAGCATAATTATATTACACCTAGTCTTGTCGTACAGACCCTTTTAGTGGTTCCGACTTATGTGCAGTGTAGTGTCGTATAGTTCATTATAGTGACTCCGGCTAGATTGAATAATGATCTATGAATTCAGCCGTACAGACTTATGCAAGGGTTCCGGCTAATATGTTATTTTCCATGAATTTATTCTCACCTGAGTTACTTATTCTATTTTATGTTTTGGCATGGCATACTTATGAATATGGTGATGTGAAGCATGATTTGAATTGAGATATTTATATATACATTTATGCATATGTTTATATTCTATTTCTGGGAAAATTATACATGTTTTACGGCGAGGGGTTAGAGCATTTTAATGATGAAATGGTTTTGAAAAACATTTGTTCGGCTGTTCTGACAAATTTTATATTTAGTAGGACATCTTCTGGTACTGTATAATTAGTACTTGTCCTACTGGACTGCACCTAGACTTTCTATGCTCTGATTAGGAGTATTTACTCTTGTATCTCACTCTTAGCACTTCCTGTTTATTAGTGCACATTAGTAACTTCGGTTTTTATTTACTCGTATATTTCTTATCTTAATTGCTTCGGCACTGTGCACATGGATACGTCACCCTCACGTGACGGCAGCAGCATGACTCGATCTCGGTCGAGGTGTGTCATAAAGCTTGACTCTTAACCTTGTGAAAATGACAATAATTGAAAGAGGTAATGTTTCCACAGATGAAGAACAAAAATCCTCTGCAATATCTGCCCATAGTGTAACAGTGAGCTGTTCCATTCTGCAGAGAAAAACAAATACATACATGTTTTTTAACATAAGACAAATTTTGAAAACAATTTATAATGAGAGTGATAAGAAAAAAAGGAATAACCTGACATTTTGAATATGTATGTGTTGACCCTAGAAACTACAAAGCCTACGTGGCGCGTAGGCCGAGTAATTAATAAGCTAACTACGTCCTTCGGTGAATGCGGGGCGTGCCAACTCGTCGGCCGAGCTCGGCCGAGGAGTAAATTTGTTGATGTTGCGTTGGGTGCGCGGCTGACTTCTGCGTCTTGCGATTGCGGCCGAGAAAGGAACACGTCTCGGCCTCTTGGGCTCTCGAACCTGAAGACAAGGTTACTATTCTTACGAAGTTCAATATCAAATTCGGCTTTCAATGTGCCGAATGTAATAACTGTAACACCTCACTTTGCCGAGAAGGCTGATGAGATGACCTCGACCAATAAGGGTTCAGAAACCCTTCTCGACCGAGACTTGGATAGGTAATCAACCGTT